CTTCGACTTGAGTGTAGTTTTTCCTTGGTTTTCTTTGCTTGTTGTTGTCCATCGCGCCTTTCTCACAGGATTAGGAAAAGTGAAAAGAGCCCTAAAAAWTTGCATACATAGGCACGTGCACACGTGCACTGGTCGTAATGTTTTTTTTAAATATTTTTGTTTGGTTTCGTGATTGCGAACGAAAAAGTTGCATATATGTTTAATACACTACCTGTTTGCGTCAGTCAACAATGGATGTCCCACCTTTCCCAATGTTTATTGTAGTAAACCTGCTGTCTATCTTTGCAGCTATAAAATTGAGTCTTCAAAGACCACAACGTTTGGTCCCTTTATTTCCTATGCATGTAATAGGGAACCTGCTCATCACACTCGTTGCGCTTGTCTCTACGGCACCAACGGGAGCTAATCTCCTAGCCCGACTTTTTGGTAATCAGCTGCTTAACCATCGTAACAGTGGCAGAGATGTTTATTGTTTAGCACGAAGACATCCACACATCTTTTGGTACATGACCGGGGAAACACCAGAATCCTTTGATGCTATTGTACGAAGAATTGGTATAGAAGTTACCCGTCCGAGACACACACCTCGGGTGCCAACTACAGGTAGAAGAAGAGCTTGTAATCTTGACTTATAGAGGTGACAAAAAGTACCATTTTATGAGTACACAACTAATTGTTGACGCAGATGGTTTGGTAGTTCTCCTTGTAGCTGGGTACGTTTGCTATATAGTAGCGTTGTCATGTTGTGCTTAAGTATTTCGATCTAGTTGCTATTTTACTGCATATATAAACAAACACAAACATAAGCAAAATTTAGTACTACACGTATTCATAGTAAACAAACGTCTTGCAGATTTCCGGGGCATATGAACGATGTGGAGTCATACAGACGACTTCCTGCTATAGGCCATGGAAGAAGAAGGAATCTACCACGACGAGCAAGGCTGCTAGCTGATGGGGGATACGCTAACGCCCCACCTCTTATCACTCCAAGGCGTATTGCTTACAACAGACGACAACAGAATGCCAACAGAGCGCTAAGGTCGCTTCGTATCCGCGTAGAGCACGCCATTGGATTCCTGAAAATTTACTCAGCGACCTCGGATATTTTTCGACACGAGGCCATTTCAACCCTTTGTAATAGCAAATTGTGGTGCTCTTGCTAATAGAAGGAAAAGAATTCTAAAAACACTGTAATGTTATATATGTTCTTTTTGATTTACTTTTCGGAACAGTAAAACAAACTGGCGTAACACATGTTTATATTAGTGAGAGCAGAAAAATTCCTAGCTTAATACTGTAAACAAATCTCAAGATATGTTGATACTACTAGCGCTAACTAGTCAGTTGTGACTGTTTTGGTACGCTGAATACAACAGGTGTATAATAAAGTTCATAAGTATATGACGTTTAGGACATTAATAGTTCTTCGTAGTAAGAGGATTGACTATTAAGGACCATAGTAGTAAGACGAAGGAGTAACGTCAGTAACAATAGTTACAAACTTTCTTTCTCAGTTGTTATTTACCTAATAATACATTGTACTAGCTGAGAAAACAGTACGATAAGGAATTTTGAAAATTCTATTGGTTAAATCTGGAATAAAATAATGATAGCTCTTTTTAATTTATGCTATTCCGGTCGGATTATAGAATGCGGAATATACTTTCCCTATGCCGCTAAATCGGAAATGTCTAATGCAAGCTTATTTAGTTCACCCAAAAAAGCTTGATTGGCTTGTGCAAGCCAAGCCAATATTGCTTTAAAATTGTTAAAACAATTTTAAAGCAATATTGGCTTGGCTTGCACAAGCCAATCAAGCTTTTTTGGGTGAACTAAATAAGCTTGCATTCTAAGTATTATGCGACGTCTTATACGAGAATGCATGCCCCGACTTAACCTTGAGTCATACATACATACATAAACTTTATGCATCGCCAACTATTCCGGCCATGCGCCGATCGCCAAGTCAGCGGATATCATGTATTAAAAAAAAAACCACAGGAAGCTACGGTATTCCTGTGCTTTAATAGGTATCCTATTACAAACGATGGCAAACGAGAGCTGAGGATTCAAGCTTTATTTTGGTACCAAACATGCCGTATTTTGCGTATAATTTTCAAGGTTTTTGCTTCACAAAGTGCCTATTCTTGAAGAAAGATCTCACAAATATTCGTCTCAAATCGGAGCTTTTTGAAAGTAAAAAACGAAATGTATAAATTCGTTCAATCGACCACAGATTCGACATCAGTAGTTTAGAATGTGTCTATTTGAAGGATCGACCCCGGCAAATGAGGTAACTAGTTCTGATTTTGAGAAATCCTGTTTATAATATTTGACCTTTTGTGGTTTTCTTGCACTTTAACAAAGCACTTATGGCAAGAAGACTGTTAAAATCTAACTATCGAGACGAAAAGGTTTTTTCTAAACAAATTAAAGTATGTTTGGTAAAAATCAAATGCTTTAATGTTATATATTGTTCTTCTACCCCGGCAAGTGAAAAACTGTTTACACAGAAATTTATAAATCGAAAACTATCTTTGTAAAATCTGACTTAACTCGCYTAACACTTTCAAGCGACACCGCTGCATTTGTACGCGGGCGCATGACCGGAATAGTTGGCGATGTTCCACACGATAATCCAGTCATTTACGGACCTGAATGCGGAAAACCAGTTCCACAACATTTCTAAATGAATTTGTATGCAAAATGTCAGTGCTAATTTTGTTGTGTGAATAAATAGTTTCTGAAATAAGTTGATCCTTTGAGGAGGTCGTCAGACAGGCTTAGTAACTTAACACGCGTTACGCAACGCTGTACCTTTTATTAACGTTATTCCTGCAATAAAATGAACTGAAACAGTACGATTTCAGATTATCATCATTATCATCATCATCATCATCATCATCATTATTATTATTATTAATATTATTATTATTATTATTATCATTATCATTATTATGACAGCAGTGTTTATAAACTTTAGTATGCTCCATACAAGTGGCACACTAGGGCGCAAAGCGTAACCTAAAGGCCAATCTAACCCTAAAAAGCTTCTAATTACAATTATTTTTTATACATAATATATTATTATTATTATTATTACTATTATTGTTATTATTATTATTACTATTATTATTA